CTGATCACAACGCAACGCACCTTCGTATCATCCGCGAACTTGCTAATCCACCCTTCTACTCCTTCATCCAAATCATTTGCGAAAACTCACAAACAGAAGAGGACCCAGAACAGATCCTTGTGGTACACCACTCGTAACTGAGCACCATGTTTGAATATTTTCCGTCCACTACCACCCTTTGTCTAAGGGTCAGCCAATTCTGAATCCAGTCTGCCACATTTCTCCCTAACCCATGCCTCCTTACCCTCTGCATGAGCCTACCATGGGGAACCTTATCAAATGCCTTACTTAAATCCATGTATACCACGTCCACTGCTCCACCTTCATCCACATGTTTCGTCACCTCGTCAAAAGAATTCAAGAATGTTTTGAGGCATGATCTACCCCTCAAATTCATGTTGACTATCACGAATCAAACTGTGTCTTTCCAAGTGATCATAAATCCTGAGCCCTTTCCAATAATTTGCCCACCACTGAAATAAGACTAACTGGCCTGTAATTTCCGGGATTATCACTATTCCCTTTTTTGAAAAAGGGAATGACGTTTGCCTCTCCAATCTTCCGGCACTATACCCGTGGACAGCGAGGACGAAAAGATCATCGCCAAAGGCCCTGCGATCTCTTCCCTCGCTTCCCACAGAAGCCTTAGATACGTCCCCCGGGCCTGATGGGATTTATCTATCTTCAACTTCCTCAAAATTCCTAGCACCTCTTCCTTACTAACATCGACCTCCTCTAGCCTACCAGCCTGTTACACTGTCCTCCTCTACAACTAGGTCCCTCAGTTGTGAATACCAAAGAAAAGTATTCATTAAGGACCTCTCCTATCTCTTTCGGCTCCGTGCACAAGTTTCCTTTACAATCCTTGATCGGCCTTACCCTTTCTCTGGTCGTTCTCTTATTCCTCACGTACATGTAAAAAGCCTTGGAGTTTTCCTTGATCATATCTGCCGAGATTTTCTCATGCCCCCTTATAGCTCTCCCAAGCTCTTTCTTCAGCTCCTTCCTGGATGACTTGTATCCCGCTAGAGCCTTTTCCGATCCTTGTTTCCTAAACCTTATATAAGCAACCTTCTTCCTCTTAACCAGACGTTCGACCTCTCTTGAGAACCAAGGCTCCCTCACTTGACCGCATCTTCCCTGCTTGCTAGGGACAAACATATCATGCATACTGCGTGTGCTCTCCTTGAACAATCTCCACATTTCAATAGTGCTCTTCCCTGACAGCATCTGTTCCCAATTTATGTTACCCAGTTCTTGCCTAACAATTGTAATTACCCTCCCCCTGCTGTATGTACCTATCCTTTTCCATGACTATCGTGAAAGAAACAGCGATGATTGCTACTGCCAAAATGCGCTCCTACCAACAAGTCTAACACTTGGTCCGGTTCATTGCCAAGCACCAAATCCAAAGTGGCCTCTCCTTGTGTTGGTCTATCTACATACTGTGTCAGGAATCCTTCCTGAACGCACTGGACAAAATCTGCTCCATCTAAACTATTAGAACTAAAATGTTTCCAACCAATATTTGGAAAGTTGAAGTCACCCATGACTACAACCCTGTGACTTGTGCACCTTTCCAATATCTGCCTCCCAATCAGCTCCTCTACTTCTCTCCAACTATTAGGGGGGTCTGTAAAACCAGCTCCCCCCCCACTCAAGTGACTGCTCCTTTCTTGTTCCTGACCTCAACCCAAACTGACTCTGTAGACATATCATTCTCGAACTGCCTTTCAGTAGCTGCTACACTTACCCTAACTAGCAATGCCACTTCCCCACCTCTTTTTCCACTCAGCCTATTTCTTTTAAAGCATCCAAATCTCAGAACTTCCAACAACCATTCCTGTCCCTGAGATTCCCAAGTTTCTGTATTAGCCACAACATCGTAGTTCCAAGTACTGACCCATGCTCGAAGTTCATCCGCCTTATTTCTGATAATGCCAGCGTTGAAATATACACACCTCAAACCATCTGTGTCCACAATTATGCTCCATCAACAGCATTTCTTTATAAACGACCTCACTCCCTGTTGTGTCCGTTGGAAGGCTGAATACCTCATCCTCTGAATGACTAATCTGGTTCCCCAGCCCCTGCCAATCTAGTTTAAACCATCCCGTATAGCTCGAGCAAACCTCCGTCCCAGGATATTTGTGCCCTTCTGGTTCAGGTGGAACCCGTCCTTATTGTACAGGTCCCACCTTCCCCAGAATGTGCTCCAATTATCCACATAATGGAAGCCCTCCAGCCACGTGTTTAGCTGCACTCACTCCCTATTTCTTACCTCGTTATCATGTGGCACTGGTAGTAATCCAGAGATAACTACCCTGTTTGTCCTGGACTTCAGCCTCCAACCTAACTCTTTGTACTCGTTTTTCACATTCTCAGTCCTTTATCTACCTATCTCATTGGTACCGATGTGTACCATGACTGCTGGCTGCTCACCCTCCCCCTTAAGGATCTTGAAGGCACGATCCGAGACATCATGGACCCTGGCACCTAGGAAGCCACGTACCATCCGTTCACTTCCACAGAACCGCCTGTCTGTGCCTCTTACTATCGAAGTCCCCACTACAATTGCTCTCCTATTCTCCCCCCTTCCCTTCTGTGCCACAGGGCCAGGCTCAGTGCCAGAGACCTGTCCGCTATGGCCTTCCCCTGGTAGGTCATCCCCCCCAACAGTATCCAAAACGCTATACTTATTGTTGAGGGGAACGGCCACAGGGGATCCCTGCACTGTCTGCCTATCCCCTTTCCCCTTCCTGACAGTCACCCAGCTACATTTTTCCTGTACCTTCGGTGTGACCACCTCCCTATAACTCTTTTCCAATCACCCCCTCAGCCTCCTGAATGATCCGGAGTTCATCCAGCTCCAGCTGGAGATCCCTAACGCTGTTTGTGAGGAGCTGGAGTTGGGTGCACCTCCCACAGGTGAAGTCAGAGGGGTCACCAGCAGTGACCCTTACTGCCCACATCCTGCAAGAGGAGCATGCAAATGCCCTAGCTTCCATTCCCTCTACTCTAGATTTCCGGAAGAATTTATAAAAAAGCCTTACCTTACCAACCCTCCACAGTTTTTTTTTGTTAGAGGAGGATGGGTGGGAGACACTACACGTGTAGTGTTTCGTGTTTAGCCAATGTCCGAATATATCGCTTCCTTCCTGGCTTGCGTTCTCTCCACACACCCGCTGCTGAAAACAAGAAGGCCGCTGCTGCATGAGGTTAGTTTTTGTACTTGAGAAAAAAAGAACAACTTTACCTTCCCGTCAGCACTCTGCTGAAAACTGATGGGAAGTAAAAAGGTAGCTTTACAATCAATCAGTTTAAAGAATTAGAGGGAGGATAACTCTGGAGCTAATACAGTGCTGTCCTTGTGCTTACATCATTTTTAGTCTGGTTCCAATTAAAGGTATCCCTAATCTCTCTCACAGTTCCATCACCCCTCCAACCCAGGCCCACTCCCAGCTTATTTTGCCTATGCCTTGCACCCATTCTCCCTACACCTTGGGGCCACTAAACAGCTGACCACACACTTTCCCTTCCTGGCTTCCACGTTCATTACATTTTCCCCTCATCTCAGGTATTGCTCTCCGATGTCCCCAACACCATCAAATCTGAATCTCCACCTCAACTCCTGACCCTTCCTTCCTAATTACCTTTCCACAGCAGTGAAACATTTCATCAAGCCGATGGAATTTGGTACCTATTTTCCTGGAATTTGAACTGCTTTCAGTCAGGTTTGTATCCCCCAAAAATCACTAACTGCACAACCACCCTCAGCAACATGGGACAAACACTTCCCTACCACCTGCCCTGACCACACCCAGCTCTCCCCTCTGTCTCAGACATCAGGCGGTGCAGCTGATATCCTGCACTGATAACACTATGGAGATGACTGCAGACCTTGTTTTCAGTCCTTTCAGTAAAAAGCCTTTTCCATCCCATCAAGTTGTGCCTCTAAAAGTGAGAACGCAACATGGACAAAAGCCACCAAGTGTCAACTCCCTCTTCCACAGGGAGTATATTTGCATCAAGGTGGTTAGGTCAGCTCAGCTCAGTTATATTGAGCAGCATGGTTTCTTGGTCATTAATGAACTGGATAATTAAGGAATATTTGAGCCACAAAAGATAGCACCCCATGTCATAGCTACAGTAACACATGACAAGGCCGCTCAGTCACCCAGTGAGAATGAGCATTCATTCCAGTGACCATACACAGCCCTCTCAAAATGGGAGGCATGCAGATGCCTTTGGCCAGAAGGATTTTGCCACTGATGCACCTATTGGTTTCAAGAGCACCAGATATCTGTATGCTCAATCACACATTACATCATTGTGTTCATGAGAACCAACTGACATTCTCAGCATTTCCTACCCAAGGTTGGATCACTCATGTCACTAAATTCCAGCTCATGTTGGCCAAGTCAACTACACCCTTCTTTACCATAAGATGTATTGCAGACAGTTCCAGACAAGCACGAGGGATAGAAATGTGGGCTCTATCCCCATGACCTCAACATCAAGGTGGAAAGCGAGAAAAAGCAAATATGAGCAGGTAATGCTCTGCTCAAGTCTTGGGATTAGGAAAGAGGAGGCCTCATGGCAAACTGATGGTTCAACAAGTATTTCAGGAGTTAACGCTGACAGATGTGTGTTCCTTATGGAATTGTTTATTGATGTACTCATGGGGGCGAGTGCCATGTGCCCAAATGTGAGAAGGGCACATCAGTCACAACAGTTAACACAAGCTCTCCCAAAATACTGAACTGGTCCAAATAACAGGTGGTCTACAAATTTGTTTGCTGTTGCAGTTTGACGTAAAACTTTAACATCCTCTCTGAAGCTTAACACAAGGAGAAAGAAAGCTCGATCTCCAGGGGATAGAACAGACGTAACTGAGAGTCAACAAAGCCAAATCAGAAATTGAAATCCTCCATAATGATAGATACTAATAGATTCCCTGAAGATTGAAAAGAAAACGAAAACCAGGTCCGAACAGAAGATTCAAAGAATCACTGCTTTATTGGTCATTTCATTAGTTGAATGGAGTTTGCTGGTGTTTCCTGTACAGGAACAAGGCCATCAATGAAGCAGAGATCAGGGAGACAGCTGTCACTGTCAGGGCCACCATCACAACCAGCTCAGACTGCACACCTACACAACAAGGAGAAACCAATGGTTACTGAGGGAAACAGGGACAAAGAGGGAAACTAGCAGTCAGACAACTCACCTCCTGGAGACCTCTCCTGCATCCTTTGCTCAACCTCAGTCAGGGGCTCAGTCGCCAGGCTGGTCAGCTCAGGATCCAGAATGAGCAGGGGGCCAAGTGAGGCCTCACCCTCCCACTTCAATCCAGCTTCACTCTGAAACAAATATCAGAGTCACGGTCAAGGAAGGTGGGGGTGGGGGGGTGGCGGGCAGATGTAGCCCTGACATCCAGTGGGTCAGTGAACGACCAGCTTCAAGTCCAAGATCTCTCCTTCCTTTGGAGGGAAGGACGATCTCCTTTGCGCTACCACATTTACCCACATGGCAACAGGCACAAATGTCACTGTTCGATTCCTCCAGTGGGGTCCAGCTAAACAGGAGAAACAGCCCATCAACCACTGGGTGCATCACCTCTCCCCAACATCGTCACTAAGGGACAGGGAGTGGGGGACACTTACATCTTGTCCAGCTTCTGGAAAGTACAAGCTTTGTTCCTGGAATCTCCCTGATCCACTGCAGCAACTTTCAGGTGACAGGTGATGAAAATCTGAGGGACACATTCAGCACATGTCAGTGTTTAGTGACTCCCACCTAATGTGGAAAAGCCAATCAGCAGCTTCCTCTTACCAAGGAACGCTCATCTCCATAGAAGCGGAAGGCATCCAGGTCAAACCTGAGCTTGTCCGGCTCCCGCTCGTCTCTCGGCAACACAAAGGTTGAAAAGGAGTCCTCAGCTTTGCTGTCCACGAGGCAACTGCAAGTGAACAGAGGGCCATGAAGTGAATGGAGTGAAGCCATTGAGATGGCAGCAGCTGGAGAAAGCAGAGAGCTCCTTACCCATTGTAGTCAATGATGCTGTATCTGGGGCTGGAGTCCTTATCTGGGCTCAGTGTAGCTACACAGCGGTCAATGTACAGCTTCAGGGGCATGTGGTTGGCCATTGAAACAGATGCCTCAATGTGAATGAGGTCTCCCAGGAAGTAGACAGTGGAAGTGCGCTCTGTCAGCCAGTCACCTGAAGTACAAGAGGACAAGGGTTGGAGACAGTGGGTGCAACTCCCAATGAGTGACACCAGGAGATCCCTCCCCAGCCACCCATCACATACCATTCGTTAGACGCAGGGAGAACGCCAGGTGCCCTTCTCCAGACCTGGTGGAGCTGAATGGGATCCAGGTGGGCTTGATGGGGTTACTGCTCACATTGCCCTTCCTGGGGAGAGACAGGGCAGCCATTTTAGGACAGTGTCAGACAACAGCTGACGATAATATTGATCATGTGAGTAAAGATTCTCACCTCAAATAACAATACACAATGGGAATGACAGCTCCATTGGTTCTCACAATGACAGATCCAGGATAGTTTGGGATGAGAGTCAGGTGAGTGGTGTAGATCAGGAAATCTCCAGTCATCTGAAAGACACCAGGTTAAACAGTGAGGAACTGATCTGAAATGAAAAGGGTCTGCACTTGGGTCACAATGACATCATCCCAATGGATGTATTCTTTTGGGACCCTGACAGGCTCAGTGCCAAGATGCTGTTTCCTCCCAGCACTGCTGAGTTAGCTGTTAGTCAAAGGTCAGGGGTTCGTCATATACGATCAATGTAACAAGGAACCCCCAACTCATTACTTCGGAGTCTGAGAGACACTAAACACAATGGTCAAACAATGAATTGTTGTAAGAGAGCTCAAGTTTTATGTGCTAGGAAAATGTCCAAGCAAGAGAGAAACAGGGCTAAGGGTAGAAAGTGAAGTCATGGAGAGAGACTGCCATTGGGTTCCCAGTGATGTTAATCAATTACAAACTAGAACAGTGAAAGTGAACAGTAGCTGTTTGGAATAATGAACCAAACCAGTCTCCATTTTACAAGTGGGCCAGGAATACCAAAAACAGGGACAGTCCACAGTATGAAGCTCAAATCCATAATCAACAAGTTGATCCACTATCAGATTCTAGAAAGCATGGTTGAGAATTGGACTGAAAAAGAGAACTGCACATTCAAATATGTCTGACCAAGGGGAATGAGCTCAAAGCAGACACAACAGGAATCAGAGAAAGTTCCAAAACATTGGGAATAGACAGCAGTAAGCCAAAGCCTAATCAGGATCTAACAGTAGCTTGTGGGTTGGTAAAGCCAGAGACCATTCTTAATATCAATGATATCTCAGCCAGGGTTAAAGTGAGGTACAATGTACAGCCCAAACTTCCAGCAAGTATGGAGGACTCACATTACCTGCAATCTGCTGCCGCACTCATGCGGCCCATAGTCAAAGAGGACAGTGTGGTTCTCAGGGTAGATCCTGGTTGGCTGACAACCTGCTGTCCCCAGGGTCAGGTCAGCAGCTTTTATCAGGTGCCTGGTTCCAAATAAATCCAGCTGGGCCCTGACCAGCAGGTTGTGCTCTCCACCCTGCACCATCACAGTCTACAGTGGAGACACACTCCCACCCTCAGACATTCTGAAACTGGAACCAATAGGACCCCCATGAGGAGGGACTCTCTCAGTCACAGGGGCAGCTCTCAATATTCTCCATGGAAACCTCTGGCTCATAAACTGTTGACAAGTTTCAGAGCAACAAACAGCTCCAACTAACACCAGCACAGGGAATAAACCCCCTCACTACAAAACCCCTCATAATCCCAAACAACTCAACCATCCCTTCCAGCCCCCACCCAGCTCCTTTTATACACACAACCTGCACTCACCTGACACCAATCAGACCAGAAGCAGCAACATTGAACCAATGAACCAGCCCCAATCTCTACAATTTCCACCAATGACTAAGCTCTTGGATTTATTACCAGGAGCGCCTGTTCCATTTGGACCAATAGGAATGACTGTGAGTTGCTGTGCTGTCACCTGACTGCATTCAGCGCCACAAGTTCTCATGGTGAAGGGGCTGCTGAGTACAATCATCAAACATGGATCATTGATTCAGGAGGGTGATGGTGGGTTTAACCTTTCCTCACCTCGGGTCTCTGACAGTGAGCCGTACAGAGAGATTGTACAAAGGAAGTGTTCCTCAGGTTTGTCTCATGCTGTATCCTCACCCAGCGACCTCAACGCCCCCTCACCAGCCCCCAACCCACTCCACACCAGGAATGTTTAATTGAGGCAAAGTAAAGGGAGTTTTACTTTCAGTTTAAACGAAAGAGAGAGTTTACCCACTATCTCACCCCACGCTATTACCTGGCTTGGTTGCGTTTGATGATTATCGTTCAGAGGAAACTTTATTCTGTATCTAACCCTGTGCTTTCCCTTTTGTTGGAGTGTCAACAGGGACAGTGCAGAGACAGCTTTACTCTGGATCCAATCCCGTATTGTCAATGTGTACGAATATCCCTGACAATCTTTAACGGAGAATGTTTTGAACGAGCATTGTTTTCAGTCTAAAACAATAGAGGTAGCTTTTCTATGTATCTAACGCTGGATTGTATCGATTCTGGGAATATTTGATAGGGACAGTGGAGTGGGAGCTGCGCTTTTAATTTAAAGATGCAGAGAAAGTTTTACTTGTATTTTATCAGAGTAGAGGGAGCTGTAGTCTTTAACTAATCATGTGCTGTCCCTTTCCTGGGACTGTTTCTCAGGACAGTGTATTGGTAGCTTTCCTTCCAGTTTAAAAGGGTAGACGGAGATTTACTTCCAGCTTGCTAAAAGAGTGCAGTGTGGAAGGAACTTTACTCTGTATCAAAGATAGTAGGAACTGCAGATGCTGGAGAATCCGAGACAACAAGGTGCAGGGCTGGATGAACACAGCAGGCCAAGCAGCATCATAATCTGCTCCTATGATGCTGCTTGGCCTGCTGTGTTCATCCAGCCCTGTACCTTGTTTACTCTGCATCAAACCCTGTGTTGTACGTGTCCTGGGAGTTTTTGGTGAAGATACTGTGGAAGGCACTTTCCATTTTATTTAATCCCATGCTGGTCAGGGGGAGTTTGATACAGTGTAAGGGAACATTACTCTGTATCTAATCGCACACGGTACATTTCCTAAGAGTATTTTATGTGGAGAGTGCAGAATGAGCTTTACTCTGCAGCTAAATCTCAGCTATCTCTGTGGATTTGATTGGGATAAAATCAAGTGATTTGGCATCCTCTTGAGCTGTTGTGAATCTTATGCTAATTTTTCCTTCAAATGAACTTTCCTTTTGGTTTCAATTTTGGATGGAAAGTGCTCATCGTCCTTCCATTCACTCCCCTCGAAGCCGCTCGGTTGTTTCGTTACTTGCCTGTTTAGTTTTATTGGCTACGGTGTGGTTACGTGTAGTCCTGGCAAGGCCAACATTTTAATAACCATCTTCCAACTTTCCTTGAGAAGGTGGGGTTGAGTCCTCATCTTAACACTGTTAGCCAGAGGCAGGAGAGGGAGGGAAGGGGTCAAGGGGACAAGCTGCTGACATCGCTGCCTGGGAGATGCTGACCAGAAGCTGCAGAGAGAAAGGTGGAGACAGGGGGTACCAGTCACCAATATCGCTAACACTAGATTCCTGATGTTAACACAATGCTGAATGGATGGAATGCTGACAGCAAGTTAAGGCAGAGAAGGTAGACAGGGAAAGACTAGAGGAAAAGAATAAGAGACTTAGTGAGGAGGTAGCCTGCCTCAGTGACAGAGTAACCAATCTGCAGGGACAGAAGAATACGGATTTGGTACGGATGAAACAGTACCAGGTGCAGTGTGAGAAACTGCTTAGCAATAAGAATAAGTGAGAGGGAAAAGTCCAAACAGTTAAAGATGAAATGGAAAAATGGAAGGAAAACGTAATGATTTAAAAGCTGCAATGAACTTGATCCAGAGAGATGTTCAGGAAATGAGGAGTAGTGCTGCAGATCACACAAATTGTCAGATTTAGATAGGAAGCCTGCAAGGTCAGCTCGCTGCACACAGGCATGATGTGTGTCTTTGTGTCTGTAAGAAGTGGGGAAGGCAGCGAAGGGGACGTGGATTGGGATGATTTAGCAGACGGAGCTGCGAGGTATGGTCATGATGATGGGGAGCCTCCACCAGAGGATCCGCTGCCAGCTAATGACCCAGGGTCGGAGATTCCATTGGCTCCAGTCGTAATGCCTCCCCCACCCCCAGCCCCTCGGTAACCACTCGAGGGGGATTAGGGGCAGGTGGTCAGGTGGCAGAAGGTGAGAGGGTTGTGTACTTTACACTATTGGGGGTGCAGCAGTTGAGGAACATTGTGAAAGATATCGGGGCGTG